TTAATTCAACTGCATGTTCTAAAGATTGCAAGCCTTTTTACTTCGCTATTTGGAAACGTTTTCATCCGATCGAAATGTACATAAATTTTCACTGAGTTCACTCATAGTGAGAGATCATTGCCGAAGTGAGCAAAGTTCTTCCATTCAAAAGGATTCTATGCTTAAATATCAAGTACATTTGCATGATTTTTGATCGAAATTATCAAATACGTAAGTGCTCGGGATTGAAAATAATGAAATCCCGGGATCGAGATTCAATCCCGATCCCGGGATTGAAAAATAGCTGGGATTTTGCAAACCCTAGTATAGATGCTATTGCAGAATCGTAACAACAAAATCTGTTTCGTGTTGACCACTTCAGTAAGAACGAAAACATCCCACAAACCATCATCTTTTCACGTTGAAACAGTTCTTTTTAAAATAAACTTAACTGTGGATGCAAATGGGAGTTGTATAATAAGCATTCATACTCTTGATCATGCTACCATCCACCATACAGTCTTGTACATTTCATCACACTTTGTGTAATGATTACCACGAATAAAACATCCCTTCTTCTTGTTTGACTCAAATAAATCGCCTGCCTGACACCCACGAGCTTAAGCGGTGAAAAACAACGCTAAGAATCAACGCTTGATTCAGCATGTGCACCACACTGTTGCCGAAGATCCAACAGCTGACTACAAGCGAAAGAAACGCTCAATTCGTCTAATCGCATCTCACAAATTGTTTGACATCCGTTCGACAACAAAAAACATCACTTCAACAGCTCATCGCAACAAAGCAATCTTATTTACTGATTGATAAAAAATGGTTTAATTGTCCAATTTTGAGGTCTCCGTTCACGCAGTACCAGCAATGACGTTCATGAAAAAGGAAACAAATTACATGAACATGTGCTCAGCAATGAATCAGCGACTTACTGCGACAGAATTTCATATATTAACATTTTCATGAGTTACATTTTCTTGCGTTATTTTGATATAATGCACCAGTAATTTAAGACATTCAATGAGAAAGTACAATTCCCAGTGTTAGTCAGTACAACTTTTTGGGTAGTTTGCTAACGAAAGATGTTCAGGAACGTTATCAATTAAAGATTTGATCAGCTGCAAAATAATGCAAAATAAAATTAATTATTTACAATTATTCACAGAGTCTTCGCAGTTTCACTGTACATTACACATTAAAACGAACGAACGATTCAAAATCAGCAGTGCTTGCAACGCTACGGTTAAGGCGGTGGAGGAGCGCTGGGTTGAGGTCGATTTGGAGGATGCACGTTCACATACGTTTGACCGAACGGAATTCGAGAGGTGTCTTGATATGGTGGTGGTTCAGGTTGCATTGATCCGCTGTCGAATGATGACTTCATGAATTCAATATTGAGAGGTTTTGTCGGATAAGGAGGTGCTGTTGATGCTGATGGGACGTGTGCTGGATACTGTGGTAATGAAGTGGCAGTTGGGTACGGAGCTGTTGATGGAAACTGACTTGGTGAATAACCCCCTCCTCCCATACCGATCTGTTCACTCGGCTTCGGTATCGCCCATCCAAAGCTGGTTTGTACACCCGTGACACCAATATTCGCTGAATGAGGTGATAAGTTAACTTTTGATAAATAAAATTGAAAACTGAAATAAGTTACATACAAGATTTTCGCTCTAAATTCATGCATCCAATAAAACGCAATGAAAGTCGTAAAGATGACAGAAAAAAAANAAAAAAAAGAACTCATAACTTATTTCATGGTTCAGAATACAAGGTAACTGAGGATGGATAGCACAATTCGGTCGTGAAGCAAAGATCGTGAATGGGCCAAAGAATTATACTGAATCAATAATCATGTTCTAAGTTGCAAGTTTTTTTAAATTGAAATACCTGTAGGCACTGCTGGATTATGATAAGGTGTCGGTACAGATACGGGGAAGGGATCGGACGCAGGTCTTGGCTGAATATCGTTCAACTTCATATACTTGGTGAGCTGGTCTGGAATTTCAGCAAGGACCTCTTTGGCCAACTGAGCACTGGCATGCATTCCGCTGATAGACTGCATGGATGGTAAACCTCGATTTGAGAGGAACTGACGAAGTGGAACAAACTGAAAAACAGTTAATGAATTCAACTCGAGAATGTGACAGTCTCAATTTTTGTTGAGACATTTACGAAATTATCAATTTTTACTTCAGTGACGAAAAAATGTTGTCATTTGCGTTCTATTATTAAAAATCGACATTTCTCTTTACACAAAAACTTTAATGTCTGTCAATTTTGTAACCAACTGAGTCGTGATGAAACGATGAGTAATGACATTTGTTCGGTGGAGTAGCAAAAATGAGTGCGTAAATTTTCGTTGCTTGGATGAGAAATATCTTACCTGGACAATATCTCGCTGAGCCTTCCTACCTTGAAAACTGAGAATACCATCATCGCAATCCAATTTTACCATGTTATCAAAATTTTCACCGCCAACACCGATTATTATTATGGACATCGGTAAATAAGACGCCTAAAAGTTGATCATCAGCCTGCTGCATTCTTTGACTGATGCGAGAAGGTGAATGTTTGCACAATAACTGATTCAAAAAATGCATATGATTTCAAATAAAAAAGTCGCGAGTAGCAGTATATTTCGACTGAATTTCGTTCCGGATTATGCAATATGCTCACGCGGTCGACATCACAAAAACATAAAACGTACCGCAATAATAGCACTGAGTGTTTCATCATAATCTAATATACAACCATCTGTGATAATTAACAGAATCTGATATCTGCTTCCGTCTCGGCGATACGATGATGCCTGAAATCTGTTCATTGCATCATGAAATGAAATTTTTCACCAGATCATATTCTATCTTTATATACCATGTGCACTGTTCCATATTTCAAGAACTTCTATACGAATTGATTCTAGGAACGAGAAAGCCTCCATGTAGTGAGAACGGTATTATAGTGCTATGTTTAAGGTACAAATATATAAAAGAATGCGTTTACGACCAAAGGAGATCGAGAATGACGCCAGATATTAATTTCATACCTCAGTACAACTGGCAATAAAATATGTTTGCTTGCAGATGATGAAAAAGAACTCGAATTAAATGACAGTTGAGAGTGAAGAAGAAACCTTCTTGGATGCCTCTGAAATGATCGGTGCGAAACAGGTAGGACCATAGAGAATGCATGAATTTAGACATCGCTGATAGGCTTCTAAGAGACCAGGAACACCGAACACAGTATACGAATTGCTACCGATATTCTGCAAAGAAGATTCGATTTGCCAAAAAGTTATCATTATTCGGTGAATCTGTGCATGAACAGGTTTACGGTATTATTGGGTCTCAATCAAATAATTAATGAAAAATGTGAATAAAAATGGAAACCAACCAGAGGAAAACAATGATTAACGAAGTTTTGTGGTGGTATTTTAGCACCAAAACCCATTGCATCGAACGTATTTGAGTTATTGTAGAACTGGCATATATCGGCGACAGAGCGAATGGCGATGTAGTACTCATTTGGTTGACTGCCACCGATGAAATGTAACGAGTTCGGATCAGTCACATTACCGTTCGAGGCTGTCATATCAATCGCTACCGTAAAATCGAGTTGTGTTCTGAATTATTGTTGATCAGCTGTTGACTGAATACAATATTTCGAATTTATTGGCGTTCGACTGCTTTGAAGAGCGAACTTTTTTGTACGAGAGCGTTAGATAGATATCACTGGCAGATGAGGTGTTCGAATTCTGAGATTTGATGCGCAAATTTGAACATTTGAAGCAGATATAGAACAGAGACAAACCCGCCAGTGATGTATTCGATGAAGGAGAAATTACGGTGCGTTGTGACGCTCATGAAGATAAGACGGCCTGAGTTGACATACTTTGACGCTTTCTTCTTTCTTTTCTTCTCGTTTATCAACTTAAATCAACAATTATCACTTGAATGACTTTGGAGACAGTCATTAACGCTGACAAAAATATCCACAACTTCCACGCAGATTCGAGCAATACCACGCATACGACAATCAACTAAAGTCTTTGAACGCAGATCTGTACTTTTTGATGCTTCAAAAAATAAAGTTTATGTACTGATACATGCGCAACACACCGAAACACATAACAAGAGCATTGCTCAGTCGAAATATTTCGATTCAATTTCGCTAAAGAAACTGTATTGATTATTTGCCTTCAGTTGGCTGCATCGCAACTTTAAGTGTTTTATTTGTCGTTTCTTATTCATATGGAAGTAAAGTTGAACAATTAAAGAATACATTTTAATCGATTTCTGAAAAAATAATCACAAACTCATCTCAAATGAACCAGAAAAACGTACCGCAAATTCCAGATCGTTCTTACCGATCAAACTGTTCAGATCAACTTCGCAACAGCCAATAAAACTATGATTTCCTCTGAAATTCATCAGATTTAAGAAGACTGTAATGAACATGAAATTATTCACACATCAGGGCATATTGTTCAATGTTTAGGAAAAACATTGTGGCTTCAAACAATATCTTGACAAGAGGTTTGGGAAACATGTGATATGTCTTGTATATTTTACGTGAGTACAAAAATTTTCGTAACATGAATGTACTAGAAGTGTTAGAGAAACACTCAAATTCACGATTAACCTGCTTCGATTTGTCGTCGAATTCTGGACAACATTAGATATAAACTGTAAAATTTCTTTAGAAAAAACTTTCATTGTATGTGGGCTAAAAAAATTCAATTTCCATTACCTATATACAAACAATATCAGAATTTGATGAGGTGTAATTTAACAGAATATTGTGTGATATTGAAGAATGACGATGATGTATACGCAAATGAAAGAAGTCGCTATGAATTATAATGATACGCATGAGAAGATTGATAACTAAACATTAATTCCTTGAGTATTTTTACAATTCATGAACAACTGTTCGCATCATGCAGGACTTGATGTAAAGATATATATAT